GATGGCCCTTTAATAAGAAGTTATTAGGGTTAAATGAGGTCACAAGGTTAGGGCCCTACTGTCCTACTCCAATAGGACTGGTGGAAGAGACAGGAAAGAGAAAAAGTTGTGAGGACACAGCAAAAAGGGGTTATCTTCAAGCCATGGATGGAGGATTTAGGATAAATCCAAACTGCAAACACCTTGATCTGGGATTTCCGGCTTCCAGAACCATGAGAAAATAAATCTCTGTTTTTAAAGATGCCTAGTGTGTGGTATGTGGTTATGGCAGCTTTCACCAACTAATCCATGAGGAAGGAGCATACTCCTCTCCTATTTGGGATCTCTGCTCTGAGTTGCTGTCATCTCCTGGTGGGCACAGAAGATGGCAGTAGTGTCCTGTGAGTTTGCTCAGCCAGCCAACCTGCCAGGCTGTGGCTCTGGCTCTGAAAACTAATGGGTCACAGATGTAAACTAAAAGGTCCAGACCTTTTCCTTGGGAAAACAAAACAAAACAAATGGTTTTGTATTAAAATGTCTGCCATGAAGTAAATGTTTGTTTCTCCCCAAGTTCGTATGTTGAAACTTCATCACCAGTGTGATAGTATTTATTAGGAGGCAGGGCCTTCAGGAGGTGATCAGGTCATGACAGTAGGGTGCTCATAAAGGGGACAAGGGCCTTACAAAGGAGGCCCCAGAGAACCGCCTTGCCCCCTTTCCACTGTGTGAGGGTACAGAGAGACGGCACCGCCTGTTAGCCTGGAAACGAGCCCTCACCAGACACAAAATCTGTTGGCCTCTTGTTCTTGGACTTTACAGCCTCCAGACCTGTGAGACAGAAATGACGGTTGTTCATAAGTCACTCCGTTTATGGCAGTTTGTTACAGCAACCTGGATGGACTAAGACAGTGTCTGTACAAGTATTAATCAAACTGGGCTCTAGAAAGGGTAATGAGATACTGTTTAAAATGAGAAATAAGGAAAAAAATTCTCAGGCATTTCATGTGTCTGGGTCTGACTGCCTTAATTACAATGATGACCTTATGCCATTTCATGGAGTCTAAGATTGAGTCTTTGCTCACTCTCTATTGCTCCCTGCATGTTTCTGCCTCTTTTCTCTGGGGCTCCCTGGGTACACTTGCTGCTGTAAGATCTGAAGTATCAGAAATGAGGAAATAGCTGGCTAACATCATATTGACTTCAAGAATACTTTATTTGTCCAGTTGCCATAATTGGGTTCGTATCTGTGCAGTCCATTCTCAGCATGTTACAGAACCAAAATTATCCTCTGTCTCTCATAGGGCTCTTAGGGACAGAAACCACAAATTTGGCAAGCAGACAGCTAACACCCATGCCTGCCACTACACTGCCATCAAGATGCTTCATTGCAAATCCGTACTAGGTCAAAACAGACACAAAGAGATCCTCTCAGTCTTTACATATACATTCAACCTGTTCCATGCGTCAGGGTTTTCTTTCTGAGAGCATTTTTGTTTTTACTTTTCACCAAACTCTTTTAAGATTAAGACAATTTTCTATATGATGTAACTACCAAAAATTAGAATCCTTCTTTATAGTACTGGAAGTCACATAACCAGGCAGTGTCTAGAAATGAACATATAGACAAGTGACCAAGATAATGATTGTTTGAATGTGTGTGAATGATCACAGGCAAAACTGGAAGCCATCAAAGACCACTGGACAGGGAACCAGCCCACATGAGCGTCTTCTCAGGGATGCTTCCTAATTAATCCCGTGAACAACGCATGTCAGTCTACTTGGATGTAATTTTTTTTAAAAGTTCGTATCTTCCCATTGAGCAATAAGACTAAAATCAGTAAACGTGTCTATGAGAACTTTGCTTGTATTATGGACTAATAAAAGCAAATAAAGTGTTATGATCAAAACACACATAATGTTATTTTTTGGCATCTTTCAGAAATAAGCTTATCGGATGCTTGAGAAATAAACTTGATAAGACATTGATGACTTCAAGCATCCTTGTATTTACATTGCTCTGGCTCCAACTTGATCTAGGACAGAATTCATTAAGATAAATTCCCTGGAATTCTAATTCTCTGTAATATTAAGATTATTTATGAAAAAAGGGTTATGTGGTCAAATATTTTTGGAGACTTGTATTAACCATACTTTAAATTTCTGTAAACTAATGTTTTAACATCTACGAGATGGCCACTGGGTATTCCCAGGTAAACTCTTGCTTACCCAAAACATCTGGAGACTTTAGATGGTCCTTGCTCTAACAGTTACAGTGAACGTGAATTTCATGGGGCACCACCGCAGGACAGGCTGGCTTATCCTAAGTCAGCTTATCACCACAATAAACATTCCTCTCCCTCTGCCTCACCACTCATGCTTTATGATGACTCTGCTCCTTCTCCTGAGTGGCCCTGCCTGGCTTGTCTCTGCATACCTCAGGGAACTATGGGCATAATATAACTGTAAAACTCTTCTGAATTCTCTTTTTGGTGTGCATCTGGCCTCACTATAGCTTGCTCAAGCTAAAACAAAACTGTGAATTAGGAAAACAGAGGCGTATTTCTTTACTGCTGTGCTCTCACAGATGTTAAAATGTAAAGGTGTATTCCAAATTGTCAGTGTCAGACTCACTTGGCTTTGTAAACTTTTTTGAACAGCGTGTTTTGTGGAGCTACCTTTTCTAGGATTCTCTTTGAGAGGGGCCATCCTGGAGGGATACTGATGGTCCACGCAGGAGACGTGGGATGCCAGTAAGTGTTTGAAGATAAACATGCACTGGCATCATTGGGAAATGAAATCAAACCTTATAATCTAGGGAAAGCCCAGCTTCCCTATGAAAATTAACTGTGGACTTTCCCTTAAACAAGGATTTGGTATATAGACATTGAAGGTAATATCTGAATGAAATTACATAGTTTGTGGAGTCCATACATTTAAAAATTCATAGATCTTCTGCCCTTCCTAATCTCTGAAAAAATCTTTTGTGTGGAAGACAAGTGTTTAGTATGCATCTTCTTCTGTATAGTCATTAGGTATCTTAAACAATTGCCAGTGTGAACTACTGATCTGATTCCCACTCTACTCCTCAAGTAGTATTTCCCTCCACGCATGCCATGAGACACTCAGGAATCTGTGTCTCCTTTCCTCTCACTGCAGTACCCACCCAACCGAACACAGCACTTTAGCATGTCTCAAATCATATATATCCTCTCTATCTCCAACACTGGTCTGAATCCAGATCCTCATCAGCCCTGATGACAATGATTTTTCACGGAATCTTAACCAGGTTTCCTTGCCCTAATCTTTCTCCTTCCCAAATCTCCCCATCATACTGATGCCAACATAATTTTTGTAAAGTGCATTCCCAATCAGGTAATTATAAATTACCTGCCAATTACCTGTATACAAACTAATAATTTTTCATACACATTTTTGTACAATCTCATCCACGCTTGCTTTTCCAATTTTCTCTGAGTGTCTGCCTCTAGCACGGGACACAATTCTGTTGCATTAGTCTGGTTGTGGTATGCCTTCATCCTTTCCCTCCTTTTTCCTGGGACCAGCTCACTTTCATACCAGCTATCCAATAAATATCTATTCACCTTTCAAGACTGACCTCAAGAATTTCCTTCTTTATGGAAACTTTCCTGATTTCTTTTGTTTGCTTGTTTCTTTTTCTTTCTTTCTTCTTTTTTTTTTTTTTTGCAGTTTTTGGCCAGGGCCAGGTCTGAAGCCACCACCTCTGGTATATGGGGACAGCGCCCTACACCTTTGAGCCACAGGTGCCCTTTTGTTTCTTTACCCACTATACAGTCTACAGAGTTCCATTATGCATATTTGTTCACATGATTTGATTTTGCCTACTAGTAGGCAAGTTTGTAGAGGTAAAATATGGCATATGATTCATCTTAAAATTTCCAAAGTCTGACTAGCACTTGATGCATTCAAGAATGTTGAAAAAAACCTTATTTAGTGAAAGGACCACCAATTTCTTTGACACACAAAATAATATAAATTATATACTGCATATTTCTGACTTTATATCATGTATGAGTATAACTGAAAAAGTGCCTCCTCTAAATTAGTCACCCAATACTGCCCATTTCTTTCCAGTATAATTGGAAAGCAAAAAAAAATGTGTGTGTGTACACACACATATATATTTATGTCTCTCTCTCTATATATATCTTTTGTTTTTTCCCTCAAATCATTAATGTTTTATCAATTTTCTCTTTTCCCATTGTTTCAAAAACCCACAATTATAAATATTTTCGGAAACAAAAGATTCCTGTTTCTGATCTGTCCTCTGAGCTAAATAAACAATTATCCATGATAGAACCTAGACAGAAGGGAAAAACTTTTTCTAGTCCTCCTATTTCAGATCATTAGGGGGCAAGGAAGGATTGAAACCTTTTACTCTCTGTGGTTGGAAGAGCAGAACATGATGGAGCCTTTTGAGGCTTGTAAGAAGGTACCACATTCTAAACTCTGGATCAGTTCTAGCCATCTTATATCAATCAATAGGAAGAGAAAGGACATAGAAACGTTTGATTTCCCAGAGACAAATTCTCTGAATTAATCCAAAGTCAGTTTTTGTGAAAAAACTTAGTGATTATTAGAAAGCATTGATTTTTAGAATTTATAGTTCTAGGTGAAATGGATTAGATATCAACACCTAACAAATAGTTTATAAAAAGAGAACAATCAAGTTAACCGCATTTCAGATCACTTCCATCCCCATTCTTACCTTTACATTTCCTATCAGAATTGTCCTAAGAGACATTATTTCAAAAATATCTTTTGATGAAAAAAAGTAGCATGTTTCCAAAATGGATGCACCATTTCTTCAATATGCTGGATACTTTTATGAGAAACATTTTAGTTGGATGGGCACAAAAGGCTTATCTCCCGTTGTAAAGCTATGCTGTGGGATCTCGTCTGAGGAATGGGAAAGCCCGGTAGGAGGCGGTGAAGAAGATGCTTTGAACTTGAAAGAAACAGAACAGAGCTTTAATACTTACAGCTGTCCTCTTCTTCAGTTATACATTTCACAACATAACAGGCGTAGATGAACCCTGCCAGCTGAAACAAAACAGAGATGCTTTAGATATCAGGCAAAGGCAACAAAACTGGGCCTTATCAGGGAGTGGCCTTTCACAATTAGGAATTTAAAACAAGACTCAAGGCTTCGAAATCTCCCCTCCAGCGTGGGTTCTTGATTCAAACGATGTTGATCTGTCTTACCAATAAACACATTGCTCTGTTTTTCTCTGATCTGCTTCTGTGTGTAAGATTTGTTAATCACTGGACAATCTAAAACAAATAATTTTAGGTGCAGAAAAAAATAATTTTAGCTATTCATTAATGGGTTAACACTCTCATTTGTGCCAATCAACTTTTGGTTTACTTTTCGTTAGCTGGGAGCCCAAGATTTTAAAATTAGATTCCCAGAGACCATAAGAAAAATGTTAAGGAGATTCCATGATATGTTGTGTAAACTCTTTGTAAGTAAAAGAAAACTCTTTGAACCAGGAAGCAGGGCAAACTGAACATAATTAAGATGATGTATAAGAGAAACGATGAGGTAGACACCTGTAAGCAAGGAGTATCATCAGCATATTGAACTTGGGATTGCACACATTCTCCATCCTTTCTGAGACATACTATTGGTACAAAAAGGTCCCTGTGGTTAGTGAAGTATTTTCTCATGTAATGGTACCTGCAAAAGCACACAGCAAAGCCATCTGATATCCAGCCCCTAGGAATAATGGTTTTGTATGCCTTAATATCAGTATAATGTTTACTCAAAGTTTGAGAGTGGGCAGAGGAACCAGTTAATAATTTCTTAATAAGGATAACACTCTTTTGTTCTGTGCACAAGTAATCCAGTTTGAGGGAATCCTTAGAGGTATGTACACAGAATAGTGATGAAGACTATTCTCAATGACATTTAAGACAGGATTGACCTGGCTGAGTACTGACCTCTCACAATAATATTTAGTGTGGAGAAGGGGACACTAAAGGCTGCCTTCTGCTGCTGCCTTCAATCAGAAAGCTCTAGCACAGAGGAAAAAGATGCTGTTCTGATAAGCCTAATGAAGTTGTTTTTCATTAGGTGTCACGTAATGACCTCATGGAGGATATGAGTGGGAGATTTTAAGTCAGAGGGTCCACTAACAGATCCAACAAAACAATTTGGAGATGGACAGGGTCCAATTAAAAAGAACTTCAGAAATTCTGTGTTGGATCTGAGAGAGAAAGCACGTTCTGGCAGATTCTGACTATCTTCCAAAGAGGAATCCTCCGCAGTAAAACAGTGGTTGTACTGGACAGAAGAGAAGGCAGCAGTAACTGCCCTGGGGAGACACAGCTTGGGAAGAAGACCCATCCAACGGGCTTCAGGGGCTTGAGAGGGAACGTATACTTCTCGTCCTTCCTTCCCCAAATGTTGTATCTTAACAAGTCTACCTCACAGAGAGCTAAATATGAATATTGCTGATGTTGTATGTGGTATTTAGTAGAATTAGTTTTCTTTTAAAAAATGTTTTAGAAAAATCATCAAATCAGCCTGTTGCTCTTTGAATTATATGTTAATGTTGGAAATAAAATAGTGATAGTACGGTGGCTCCTGTGGCTCCAAAGGGTAGGGTGCTGGCTCCATATGCTGGAGGTGACGGGTTCAAACCCAGCCCCGGCCAAAAAAAAAAAAAAAAAAATAGTGATAGTAAGAACTGCTTCCTTATTTAGTAGAGTGACCATCATTGTTTTTATGAGACTTATTTTTAGAATTCGGAGTTAAACACCAGTGTCTCCTATTTGGCTTTTTGCAAAGAGTTTGATTTAACTAAACAAAACCCATGTAGTGATTTGACCATTGTCATGGGCACTGGAAAAATAGAGACTGCACTATTACTTCTTAGTTGTATCCACCAAGACCCATGAAAATGCTCTTTTCTTGGAGTAACCCAGTCCCATGGGTTGTTTGTCACTGGTAGATGTGGCTGTGGCTAGGTGAAGAGCTCTGGGGTTTGGTTAAGTCACTTGGGTACTGCTTTTACTTTCGTCTCTTCCTCTGCATGAAGTCCTTACTATATGCGGCTAAGTGTTATGGATTTATCAATAGTTTAGCTCTTCATTTCAGTTTTGAATACTTGTTAAATTATTTGCAAAGCAATTTTTTCCCAATCACAAGCTTCTCTTTTGCTTCTTATCACTTCAGTTTTTCAAAATGAAAATCTTGGTAGCAAGCAGTGATAAATTCTGAGATTCAGAGCCAGTAAGTTCAAACTTCTCATTTAAGTGCTACTAGATTCTAGGTTATTAAGTATACTGTCCCAGACTTCTGCTAAGGTGCTGTATTCTGCTTACTAGTGATCTTTTAATTGTATTCAGTTGCATTCTTTAAATATCAGGGGAGCTCCTTTGATATAAAGGTAAATCCTGCTGAATTTTGTTACAAAAGCTTGCTGATTAAGAGAGCTTGAGCTTTAAATTTGGCCACCTTTAAACACACATGGAAATTTGCTTCCCCCAAATTCATCAAAATTCATGGACTCTACTCTCTTCCAGTTTTCCTACACTATAGAAATTTCTAATTTAATTTTATCTCCCTAACATCAATTTATGAAATTTACATGCAGACAAGGAATTTCATAACATTTCCAACAAGTCTGAATGCCCCCTACAACGTGCAACTCTGCTAATTGCTGCCTGGGCCGCAAAGATGAAATAAACCAGGGTTTGCCATTTTGGATTGGGCAATTCGTTTTCTGGGGACTGTTATACGTTAAGACAGTCAACTGAAAATGTCTCCAAACATTGCCATATGTCCCTTAAAGGGACCAGTTAGAGTCACTGTTTCAGATTTAGTCCTAGCCTTAAGAAATTTGTAATGTTATAGCAGGGATACATATGCATGTAATTAGAATTTGAAGCATCAATAGATTTAGATAAATTATGAGGAGGAAGGAAAAATATTGTACAACTACTAAGTGACAAATAATAAACTGGATACTTTCATGTGTTAGGTTATTAATTCTCACAACCATCTCGGAAAAATGTTATTTGCATTTTTGCAGATGAGAATTAACGTGGGACTTGCTTTTCCAAAAGGAGATCATCGGGTGGGCAAGGTATGGATTTTGTTCAGAAAGGGCCAGTAGTTAAACATCTGATGAAGGTTTGGGGATCTCATACTGTGAAGGCAGATTAGGGCCACAAGCAGTGGGCTTTGAGTGCATAGGAAATTGCAAATCTAATCATGCTACTTTTTTCTACATACATGCTTAAGGAGTACCACCTACCAAAATAGAAGTTTTCACAAACTAAAAATCCTTCTTGATGTGATACTTGGCTTCCTTTTTAGCTTCATTTTCCACCACTCCTTGTTAAAATTGATTGATGAGAGCGGTAAGCTCTTGGTAGTTTGCTGACATATATCAGGTGGTTTTCCTCCTCCATTTCTTAAGTCAATCTCTATTACGTCAACAAAGAATACTACCGCCCTACACCTCCTCCTTCCCCATCCTACTCTGCCTTGTACTTTGAGTGTTTCTAAATCATTCCTTAAGACTGAATTAAGGTACTGCTGCCCCCAAGAATGGGCAACACACTCCCTGAGTAGGGTGGAGGTTGCCACTTCTGAGTTAGACCTTGAAAGATGGTAGGGTTTTGAAAGGGAATGAAGGGAGGAAAGGAGAGAGGTGGAGAGGAAATCGCAGAAAAGAGGTGAGAAGTAATGGATTATGTTTAGACCCCTTTCTGGAGGAGTTTGGGCTTTATGAAGGGAAATAATGGGGCACAAAGGACAAAGCACAACATAGAGACTTGTGTTATTACGGTAGGTCTGAATGCTTGCAATTTAAATGGAATGATTTTATTTTGTTTATTATTTAAAGATGGTAGTAATAACAATAGATGGTACATATGACATTTTACTAGGCAAACACACAATTATCCACTTGTGAAAATACAAAATATTCCAGTTGTTTTAGTCTTTGGCATTCAAAGCTGAGTTAAGTCTAAATCTTTTCATTTTTATTCATCTTTTCACCTTCATGCATCTAATATGATTTGTTCACATCTAATTCACCTGATAAGGAATTACATATCATCTTGATATCATTACTGACTGAAAGGAAATGATTTTTTTTACTCTATAACTAAATCAGATTAAAATTCTTTTTTGTATCCACAAACCAAATTATGATTGTATGTCCCAGAAATCCACTTAGAAGCTAATAGATAAGAAGGAAACCAAAGCCTTTTGGTAAGTATTTTAAAAGATTCAATTGTGATATTTAAAACGTGACAACCTTAGTGCTTAAAATATTGTATTTTTAATTGCTTCTCAGCCTTTTGGCTAAGAAAATATTTTATCCTTGTGCTTCCAGGAAACTGGAGTAGTAGGAGGGTTGCATTTCCCTATTCCTCCTACTAAACACAATTAAAATATGGGCATTAGTAAAAGTCCTCATTTTCTACGGACTTCCATTGATACCACCCAGTTGGGGAGGGAAGGGCTGCCTTGTGACTACATACATACATGTATATGTATATATATAGAGAGAGATAGATATAGATATAGATATGTTATATATATATATAATAAAGAAGACTGCTATGTGTGTTTCTTATATATATAACTGATATGTTTTATATATATGATAACAACATATATGATGTTCTTAATATATATATTAATAAGACTCTGGAAAGTGGAAAGAAGGCAGAACAGTTAGGAACTATGGAACTCAAGGAAGGACGTAGGGTGAATTACATGGTATTTTTTTTTGTTTGTTTTTTGATTTATTTGTTTGGTCTCATGTATATCATATTTGATAGTGAAGAAGTCTATGACTTAGAAAAGGCCAGTGAACACAGATTTTTAAAAAGCTCAACAGAAGCCTGCCCTCTCTAGCCACAGGACCAGGAAAAAGGCAGCCTAGCAAGATAGAAAATTTTAAGACAATAATATCTGTTCTTCTTTAGCCATCGCTATATGAAAACAATAATAACAGCAATGATGACACACAAGAATAAACAAAACCAAACCTGTAGCCTCACTCCCCAGCAACAGTAGT